GAGTACACCGGTTTGGATTACGAAGACCCAGATCGTTACCTGACTAAGTGTCAGGAATAAGTGACGGCATTTCAGATACCCAACGCTAACAAAGTTAGCATCTTAGAAAAAGAATTAAAAGGCGCTGCAGAAAAGTGGTGGCTATGTTATAAGCCAATGAACCTCTCTTTCGAACGCTTCTCTGAGTTACTTAGAGAAGCCAAACAGAAAAAGAGAGCGTAGGGACGTTCTTACAGCAAAAATATATGCTGTATCAGAGACTAAGACCCAACGAGGACGAAGAAGCGAAGATCGCTACAATGATCGAACACCTTCGTCCCTCAGTCCAAAAAAGTCTTAGGTCGCACACAATAAACGACTTCGCCACTCTGCTGACCAAGGCCCAAGAGATAGAGTCGGACGAAGCCGCTGAGAAGAACACTGCAACTAGTAAGCCGAAACCCAAGGACTCAGAGCAGCCCAAAGAAAAGAAGAAGCAACTTCCAAAGTGCTGGCACTGCGAAGGGTATCACTACAACAGAGACTGCCCAACTAAACAAGATAAGTCACCGCGGTAAGTTTCGTCTTCTCCTGGATGTCCCGCAGCATCGTGGAAGTCGTGCAGGACTCTTGACCTAGTGTCCTTGGGTACCGAGAGTTTCCATTTATCTTGTCGTTTATTGAAATACCAAAGTCCTTCTTCAGCTATTCGGTAGCGTTGACTGCGTCCGAGCATACACTGCTCGGCGATTTGGGTATGTGCAGAATCTCTTTGTTGCTCTGCCTTGATCTCGACTAATGGCTCGGTGACATCCATAAGCATTAGTCTAGGAGAGGTGGACTGTTGTTATGAAGTAGCTTTGGGTGGCATCATCTTATCCCAGTTCTCGAGCTCGGTGTGCGATCCGATCGGATTGCGAGAGAGTAAATCTGGAGGTTCATTTAGTTTTCCTGGGCAGTGTTCAATTTCGAATTGAAATTCTTGCAGCAGTAGTGACCATCTCCGCAATTTATCTAGGATCTCTTTAAATCGGTGGAGCCATGTTAGCGTTTTGCTGTCGGTTTTTAGAGTTAAATCTTTTGATGGCCCAGATGATGGCTAAGCATTCTTGTTCATTGCAGTGATATCTTCTTTCGACCTCGCTGAATTTCGCTCTTGCGTAGGCAATTATGCTGCGTTCTTGGTTTTCTTTTTCTTGAAATAGTACAGCTCCCATTTCTTGGCTGCTGGCGTCCGTTTGTAAGATGAAACGTTTTCCAACAGATGGTCGAGAGAGTTTGAGTGGACCGGTGAATTTTTTCTTTACATCTTCGAAGGCTGTTTGGGTTTCCTCCGTCAATTTGAGAGTTCTTTTTTTGAGTAGCTTGGTGAGTAGTGCCAGAGCGATAGCTAAGTCCTTGATGTATTCGTGTAGCCAGTTGCAAGCTCCTATGAAAGACTGGAGCTGTTTACTGTTCGTTGGAGGAGGAACTTGTTGTATCTCGCGAATGTATTCTTCCTTGGCTTCGTTCCCATCCTTCGTGAAGTTGAATCCGAGAAACTCAAGTTTCGGGAACCCAAGATGGACCTTTTCAGGGGTACAAGTGAGTTGGTGGATGCTTAGTCTTTCCAGCACCAGTGAGAGATGATGTAGGTGTTCTTCGTAACTTTGGAGTGGATGATAATATCGTCTAAGTATCCGATGCAGAAGTCTCCCATGTATCCAGCTAGTACTTCTTGAGAGATTAAACGCTGGAACATCCCTGGCGCCCCCTTGAGGCCAAAAGGCATGACTGTAAACTGGTAAGTTCCTCCCGAAGGAGTGGCGAAGGCTGTGAGCGGTTTTGACTTCTCGTCCATGGGTATCTGCCAATACCCGGATCGTGAGTCGAGAAAACGCAAGAATCTCCCAAGTCTATTAGAGTGTCACAAATGCGTGGTATGGGCTGTACAGTGTCTTCCGTAAGGCTATTTAGCTTTTTGTAGTCGACACAAAATCGCCAAGTTCCATTTCGTTTTTTGGCTAAGACTCTTTGAGATGAATAAGAGGAGATGCAAGGTTCGATGATGACTAGTGCAAGCATCTCTTTCATCTGTCTGTCGATTTCTTGGCGTTTCTCCTCTGAGTATCGATACAATGGCCGCTAATTACGTAAAATTTGGTCACGATCTTCCATCTTTATCACATGTTATACTTAAAATTGTGTGCAATATCTTGCACGCTCCTGTGGTAGCCATGTTAAAAAAAGGTACTTTTGAAATTAAAATGTACAAAACTTAACTCAAGTATTACAAAGTTTAGTTTTTCATTAATAAATGTACAAACTATCAAATCCCAAAGTTTCAACTTCGTAGCCCATCTTGACCCAAAGATCCCTAACGTTCTTAAGTACCTTTTTGAAAACGTCAAATTCTTAAGGCAATCGAAAAAGCATAAATTCCTAGATGTGACAGGCACTTCGTTTTTAATAGAGCTTTTGCACCGGTTACTTTCGCCAGCGGCAGCTTATTCCTATACTCTGCTCGTTCAATAAAATCCGAGCCATCTGCGTAGACCTTCAGCGCTTCAGCCAGTTACGTAAACGTGCGCGTGTAATAATAATCTAACTTTGGCTTTGTGTGTATGTTCTTCTCAGCGGACAGCATATACTCATCAATGGATAATATATGTATAGGACAAGCTCCTACATGAGAGAAAACGCCTCTGGGTAATATACTCTCATCGACTTTGGCTAACATGCGGCAGCGGCTCGATATCTTCGCTTGCTCGTATCCTATACGCACGTATAGAGCGTAAACACAGCTGCATCGAGCCCAAGCGCAAATGGGCCATGACGGAGTTTCCGTCCTTGTTTCGCCTAATTGTCGCACTAATTATCGGTTATTCTGACTCTAGTTAAGTACATACATTTGCAGACCGAGCAAGACGGCCATGAGCCATCTTTATTCTCTCGACCGTTGAGCCAGAGCCGTTTGACTCGCCGAATAAGTCATGGAGAGAGACGATGCCTCTGTCTAATATCGACCTTAAAGATCTTTGATATGTTCGGGCAACTTGGGGTGCTTCATTTATGAGCTGACGCTTTTTCCCGAATTTTTTATTGCTTTTACTCGATCCGAACTTACCATTTTTGTATCTTTCTTTGCATTAATTTTGCTTCAACTGATATAATTAGCACTTTATAATTAAAATTTTCTCTGGCCAAAAACTATCACACATTGGTTTATCGAAAGTCTATTTACACGAAACTTTTATATCGAGGCAGAAAATAAAAAAGAATACCGAGGCGCATTTATTGGCATTGGATGGCGATAATCCCAAGGGCTAAATTGAGTAAGAGAACCAGACTCTCTCTCTCTCTCTCTCTCTCTCTCTCTCTTTACATACATATAAAGAGAGTACATGTATATATATTTGCTATAAAACAAATCTCATATAGACGATAAAGCCATAAACAGTCGAGAGAATCGATTTACCTTTTACTCGTGTTATGTAGGCAAGAAACGAAGGATAAGCTAGAAAACGAGTGAATTTCGTGATATTCTCGCGCTTAATGAAGAGATAGTGCTCATGTATAATATTTTTGTATACCAGTGCGTAACCTATGTGTATCAATATAAGCTCAAACAGCGAAACTTTATCTTTGAGATATAAAATCTTTGAACTTTTTCATGCACTCATAATAATCTGAACAATCCTCAGCTACTTTTCCTTGTATATATAAGTTTGCCGTACATTCGCATGCAACCGTATAGGCCCACAAGGGTCAAATAAATGGGTTTCAATACTCGCAGAGTGGGCAAAAGAGGAATAAAAAAGAATCAGAAAGTTTCTTTCGTGAAATTCAAATGCCGTATTTTTTATTGAGCTCGCGGGCTATAGATTTTTTTAATTTGCGTGTGTGGCACTCGGACCCTATTTTCGCGTAAACAAAAAAGTTTGCCGCGTACGGTAGGCCATCAAACGCCCGGAAGGCTCTTCTACGTCATCCGAATACGACCTTGCGCGCGATCGAAATGTTTTTATTTCTTTCTCTCTCTTTCTCTCTCTCTCTCTCTCTCTCTCTCTCTCTCTCTCAGTTGTATTCTACTTGCTTGCATTGGAGCATTTCCATTTATTGATTCTTGTTTTGGCATTGTACGTGTGTGCCAGTCAAAATTCACGCTTTGACCCTCTTGAAATCAATTTTTTTTTGTTCGTTTAAAAAACCATTAACTCTCAATAATTATTAAAGAGATTTATTGAAAAAGTTTCGTCAATCAACTCTAATTCACTCATGTTTATGAGTTAGAGTGAGTGTACCTTTTGTCTAACCCGTATAGTTTGCCGTGAAAACAAAACGAGTAAAGCAAAACGAATGGAAAAAATGGCGAGTCCAGGAATGCGAAATATTTCGAGGTGCAAGCTTCTCTTGTTCTTCTTTTCTGTTTTTTGACGCTAGCTGCATCATTGTGTCAGGAAAAAATTCTCTTTTTCAGTCGCCGCGTGCGTAATACAATAAAAATGAAAATTCCACGCTTAAGCGCTCATATGCATTTTTCCCCTCACGATACGGAAAAAAGTTTCACTGAATCTTGGAAATTTATCGGTTCAAATCTTGCAAATACCGTTTCATCGCTAGCTCAGAGGCAAACGGGGAAAAGGGTGGCAAGGAAGTTGCGAAGGTGAAAAAAAGCAACATTATGCAAAGACTTATATACATTGTGTCCCTAGGCGCACATTAAGGCATACGCCAGACCAGACACTGTTCTTTTTTTTCTTTCTCTCTCTCTCTCTCTCTCTCTCTCGCTGTCTCTCGTGGCGTAGCAGCAGCGCAGCAGCACGCTGCAATGCGCGCGCGGCGTACACCTATATACACCTATATCTCGCAGGCGGTGGCAGTGGCAGCAGCCGGAGCTTTTCGAGGCGAGAGAGAGAAAGAGAGATAGGGTGGTGCGCAGCTGCCGCCGCCGCCACCGTCGTTGCTATCACCCGCTAGCTGCACCGATATATAGTGCACACTTTGGTATATAGCTCCAGTAGTCGGCCGACATCCAAGCAGTTCGGTTACAAGGTGCGGGCCACGTATGCGTCTCTTTTTCTACGATTATTTCGCGGGTTTGCGGGCATGTGCTAATGTTGCACAGCCTCTCTTTCGCTCTTGCTCTCTCGCTTGCTCACTCTACCGTCTTCCACTGCATTTATAGACCGACGGCGCGAAACAGCTAAAGAACCTCGCCCCGGTTTTTCGCGCCAATTTCACACCTCCTACTCTTCCCCACCCCGCCGACTAGTACCGACTCAAAGACCGATAATTGTCCAATTTTCATACTCTCTTGCGCCCCGTCTATCTTTGTCTTCTTTGGCTCCTATTCTCTATTCTCCATTCTCTATTCTCCCGTCAGAGTCCTTTCCAAGCAAAGTGTCGGTGTTTCCGCGGCAAAGTCAAAATTTCCATTAACTCGTTACTTCGTTTTCGCGATGTGCGCGACTTTTTAATTACTATTGTTTTCTCCGCCTGCTGTTGCATCGACTGAAATGTAAACAGCGATATTTCGTTCTACAGTGGCACATGCTGGATCGTTGAAAAAAGTGAATCAGTGCGTGTTTTTGTTCTTTTTTCGGTGTGGCATCTATGTGCTAATCTTAATCTAATTTTCGCACGAGCACATGTCATCTCTATAAAACAACAGTGCAGATTTATGCATCGTTTTGGTTGTAGCTTTCAATTTTCTTAATTGTAAAGTGAATGTCGGCTGAACAGTGCGATTACCGCTGCTTACATAGTGCAGAAGATACGGGTATGGGAGTTGACTTGTAACACAGTGCATTATCATCATCGAGGTCTGAGCAATTCAATCCAGTCTCCCAATATAAATCAGAACCGTGCTGCGAGATCAACTCACCGTTTTCAGTGGCGCCCTTTTCGCGCGTGTTTCCTGCTTCTACATTTCTCTCGTGGTAAATGTCTACACACACTTAGCATATTATTCATGCTCTGTTTATTATATCCAGAGCTTTTTTCCTGCTTACCTACGCATACTACCTACTGCATATGCTTGCGCACAGTCGCAAGAATTTTTAAATGGCTCCTAAACCATCATACATTATGTATTTGGCATTTTTGCCTCGAATATTTTATACAAAATGAAAAAAGATAATTTAGAGGGTATTCTATGAATGATATTATAGCTATATGACATGGCAAAAAGCAAACATATACTCAATTGTACAGCATATTTATGAAAATAATACCGTGGAGTTTTTATAATTACACTGCAAAACATTATGCGAAAGAGGGTAAAAATAATTTATTCAAGTCAATAGGCTATTTTTTGGTCTCAGTACAGCCATAAGTGGTTCAAAATTCTAAAAGTTTTTTTACCAGTGCGCGCTCTCGTGCATTATAAATGCTACGAGGGAAAATTCGCAAGTTCCAGCTCGACGCTATATATTATATGTGTGCGTGTGTTTTTAAAAACGTAAAATCTGGTATAGCAGCTGAGTTCGTACCGTGGACTGCAAGCTTCGTTAAAGTTTGAAAAAAAAAACGTTAATTTTCCTAGCGAGAAAAGTTTTCGTTGCGAAAAAGCTCCACGGATCAATGACACGTCGATAGTGTGTATAAGGAAATAAGAGGTCAGCAAATAGGAAGACTTTATTGGATATCGCAGAGCTCTCTTGTTTTTTGAACGCTCTTTCCAAAGTAATGTTTTGTCATTCCTCTTATATTGTCTGCGCGTTGTTGCTGCAGCTTGTGGCCAAACTCTACTATTCGTCTCCTCCGCGTCGGATGAAAGAAAAGTCAGTCACTGCGAGTTGGGCTATATACGTTTCGAGAGTTAGCTTGTAGTCTTGATGGTACAGCTACGCACTAGCCTCTTGTATACATCAAGCCGCACTTTGTCTTTTCTTCCTAGCTGCCACACACTCTGGGACGCTTGCAAGCTCTCATAGTCTAGCTGCTTTCACTCGAGCGTAATTTTCATTAATCACACTTAGTTCATTAGATTATTAGTGTACTTAGCCTCGAGGTGAACGCGTTCATAAGTGCCACCACATTAACCTACGAACTTTACGATTTGCAAGATTGCTTAAGTCAATTAATCGATAAATGACCTATGACGCTCAATGTTGAGAGTTGAGCAATTTTTTGCAAAAAATTTAGCCCGCGAATACGGTCAAAGAAGGCGGAGACGGGGTGAAAGAAGTCGCGTCTTGCACCAAGTCAAGCACGATTTAAAAAGCGCAGTCATTGAAATCTCATCCGATTGAGTTTCGAATTGCTTGGAAGTGCGCGGCCCGTCGCAATCACTCAAACACACACACACACACACACACACACACACACACAACACATACACGTGCCAACTTAAACTCGTTAGTGCGAATGCATCGCGCGTCATTGAAGCTATCGATGATTCTGTACTAGCGTGCTTGCAATAGCTCTCAAACACACACACACGTGCGCGCACACATCAATTTTTTATTTCCAAGTACTACTAGTATCAAGAAATTCCTTTTACCGACAAAAATGTATATCTATTTATATTTGTGACATCGAATTTCAAACAGGATGATAGGGTATTACTTATGCTCAAAGCATCGTTCTCTGTGTACAGCTGCGTTTTCGTCACCAGCGTTGTTGCCGTCAAGTAGACAAATGCCGCAACAAACTTGGCTACAGAATAAATTCGATTACATTTATATTCATAGGCCTTTTAGTCGATCCCATTAATCTTGTTTATTTTCCTGGCATAATTGATTAACAATTCCGGGGGTTTTTTCGCTTTTCTTATCATTCGCTTTAGAAACATCGTGACAGCCTCAATTGTACGGATGAAATATTTAAAAGAGATCTCTTTTTTCTCATTTTTTAGACTCAATTTGTCTTTGGTTCTGTAGTTTACACTTATAGCACTTACACAGTCAGATTGATCGAGATGTGCCGATACAGTAACAAAGTAAATATTCAAAGAGGCAATATTGGAAGCTGAGCGCGCATGGGCAACAAGCTAAATATTTGATTTTATGATACGTTTGCAAGCTACTTGCAGAAACTAGAAATTACGATTTTCGACCTGTATTATATACAAATCATGAAATCCGGCCTGAAAATTGAAGCTGGTTACTGAAATTATAGGAGAACAAACATTTGAATCGTAGATTTGCATGTAAATTAGGAAATAATAGTCTACTCACAGGTATTAATGTCCTACTCCATTATAATTTTTATGGGCTCCAAGAAGGCTGAAAATAGGAAAAATTTTCGTTATATTTTCGAGTGGGATTTTTGTCCCTCTTCCATTGCATTTTTCAAAATTACGAAATTTTGATCATTCACTGAGATACCGCTGTTTCTATGAGCTTTTTTTGTATACTGTGAGTGTTAAATCGTTTTATTCTTTCGTTTTCTGGCATTTTTGCAAAATGCACCTCCCTGTGAATGTTTTAATATTCAGAGCAAACCGTTGACGCTACAACACTAGGGTGGCGTACACTTCTTCAGAACATCTATGATCACAAACACAACCGCGGACGGAACGAATGAACTGGTAGTTACTCTGTACAAACACTTGAGCTTAAATTTTTCTTCATTTCACGTTTTTTCGTTGTCATCCCCATCATAAATCGACTTATCGAGAGCAACCTATCAGTCGGATCGTCTCGCCAGAGCTCTTTCCGTAACCATTCATGTTCTGATAAAATATACGAGAGCCTGGTGTTGTAGCTTCAACAGTTCGCTCTGAAAGTTACGAAAAATGAGGTGCATTTTGCAAAAACGTAAAATGCCTGAAACGCAACAAAAGAAAAAAATTAACATGCAAAGTGTACGGAAAAGGCTCATAGAGATGACTGTATATCAGTAAAAAATAAACATCTTTGAATTTTAAAAAATTCTGTGGGAATACGACAAAAAATCCTGCACGAAATTACAATAAAATTTTTTTCGATTTTAAGCCTCTTTTGAGCTTTTACGTATACAAGAAAGTTCCTTGATTGGGAAAAATAAAATTTTACTTTTAATTAGATATAGATTTAACTTTAAGTTATAATTGTTGAAACATTGATTGGATTAATGGACTAATAGAAAATATTTGTTAGCTTATAATTACGAGCCTCATACATGCTAAGATTCATATCAGAAAATATCGGCAAATGTACGCGGAATAGCAAGGCAATGTACGTCTGTGTACTTTGATGAAATGAAAGAACAAATTTCAAGGTGACGCGAGGCAAGCACATGCCACTATTCAAACAAAATAAAATCTCAATCAGGGTTTGAGATGAAATCCGATAGCCTTTACTGGCCTTGCAATGTACGCCCAGCCGCACAAATCATTAGGAGACTTGTCCTTACTCATCACCGATGCAACAATTGGCTTTTCGATATGTATACTTATATACATACATGCAAAAGTACATTAGTATATATACTTTAACGCTCCGTCTATGTGTCAACTGTTTTTCTATTGAGTCAGCAAAGAAGTGCGTTATGCTGCGGCCACGGGACTCTTAACGAGTAGGGTGCGAGACACAAAGTACACACGCGTACGCGTATCGCTGGCCAGCTCGAGAGCGCAAAAACCCTGGTCTTTTTTACAAGCTCACTCTTTGCGAGTGTATATTATTCTTTTGGTTAATGAGAAAGAAGCTACTCGCACCCACGTGCGGTGAAAGTGACGAACGTTTTTCTTTTCCTTCATTCTCTCTCTCTCTCTCTCTCTCTCTCTCCCTTCCTCTTTTATAAAACGCGTAAGTGTACTCAACCTTCCACCGTTGGCTGAATATTATATATATATGTAGAATAGGTTACGCGAATGACTTTCTTTGTACCTACTTTTTCTTTATCTAAGCTATATATACATTTATATATATATATATATCGCACCGCGGTTAGAGTGTCTTTTCAACAAAAAAGCTTCTGGTTCAACGACTGTTGGTTCAACGGACGTTTTTTTACTTTTACACGTCCCCCGGCTTTGAGATTTGAAAATCTCAATGAAAATAGTCAAGTTTCACAAAGTGAAATTTTTATTTCTAAGTAAGTGTGAAGAACTGATTTTTTACGAGATTTAAGTTTTGCACAGAATCTTTGAAGAACTTCAAGCGTTCGTTGCTGCATTGCAATTACGCAACCTCCAGTGTCATTTTGCCCGTTTACACTTAACCACGCACAGATGAAAATTAAAGAAATAATTAAGATAATATCGGTATCTTAACGTGTGTCATCGTTTCTTTACAAAAAAAAAAATTAAAAAATATGTTGGTGTGCGGATGGCATTCATTGGTATGGTAAAGCTCGACTGTTTGTGCTAATATATCATGGCTGATCGCAGCTTAGCCTATTTATATTATATTCACCGCGATACAAAGGACAAAGCCATACGCTTATATTTGCAAATATTCACAGAAGAAGCAGTGCAGTGTAACGAGAAAAAAATCACAACACAAAAAGGGATGATCGCGAAGAAGGAAAAATAAATGGAGAAACAATACTTTTTCTCGCCACAACTTTTAGATGCATCATAGGGTAACTTTGCAGAGGAGCTGAGCCGGAGGCACACTATACCGTCAAGAATTTTTTTCTCTTGTTTCTTCTGTCTCTGAGTGTCGTAGCTTCAATTAATCAGCCTCGGGACATCACGTCATTATATGTATAATTAATTCGTTTTCATTTCACTCTCTCATTTGCGAGTGCGCTAAATGAGAAAGAAACTCTTTGTGAGCTTGGCTTGACCATTCTTTTTTTTTTGACATGTCTTTGATGGATCTCGACGCAAGACTTTTTTGAATTACACAAGACGCCAACTATTTCTTTGTAGGATTTGCATAAGTTTTTTTTGCTATGAATAACAATTTTAATTTTAATTAACTCGACGAAGCTCGCGTAAGTTCTTACATTTGAATAGGACGAAAAAAAAAAATATAAAAGATAAAGATGCAATATATACATATGC